AGTCTCCAGGATCAAGTAAGAGTCTTTGTTCACCCCCTGTAAACACAAGTTCCTTTGCTTTTAACAGGTTCCCTCAGATAGCACTTAATAAATATGCAAACAAAGCTGATTAACTAGACCTCAAGGATGCAGGAATAACCAGCTTTGACACAGGCATTCATCAAATCACCCCAGCTTGGCAGAGTGGACAATGCCACAGTCACATTTTAAACGAGTGGTCCGGTTTATTTACAATTAAAAGACAGGGTTTAAAAAACTTACTAAGTGGTCTCTAAACTTTCAGCACCTAATTGTATGTATGTATAAAAGACACACACCTCAAACTGCTTTTCTTTACTACAAACTGTAGTAACTGAGCCCATAATACCTATCTATGAAAATTTTAGTAGAGAAATGGTCTTGGGGAAATCTGGACAGATTTGTCTTCTTTCTTAAAGGCAAGACATAGGCAATTTTCTGGCCACCATCATATCCAACTATCACAATAGAATCACTCACCACCAGATCTCCAGGCTTCAACTTCTCAGCATCAACCAACCCAATAACAGGCAGGAAATATGTCTGTAAAAAAGAAATCAAAGTGATCAAAACCGGATGTACCGGGAGAAGATCCTCTGCATCACTCCTCACACCTGGCTGGGCACATGGCTCTTACCTGACGTGTAGAGGTCTTGATCACAGCACACTTGCCCTTTCTCTGTGAATCCAGGTCAATGTTTGCTCCATCCTCCTCCTGGTCATTTGGGTCAACATCCAGCAGCTGAAAACCAGGATGAAAGAGTTCAAAACAATGTAACCAGGCTAGCAGAATGATCCCAAGATTAATGCTTCTAACATACATGCATTAGAAGAAATAAAACTTTCCATCATCCATCAGCAGTAGAATCCTGAAAGCATTAAAGCCCTCCTGTAAAAATTGATTTCTTCCTTTCCTTATGAAGCAGCATGCAACAGTGCATAGAAAGATGTTACAAAATTCAGAACAAAGCAGTAGCTAATGGCACTGATTCCTTCTCCCATACAGCAGCTCACATTAAGGCTTAAGCTCATTAAGTTTTTAAACAGTAGTACAAAGCAATCTCATTTTTAATAGCAAACTATGAGCATTCTTTTTCCTATCATCAGAATTACTGAACTACAAAAGGAATGTGATAAAGTAACAGAGCCATGGCCTTTCATTTGCTGTTTCACAAGTTACAGAGAGCACGTGTCCAATTTCAGATGCTCAAGTTTACACTCAGAAGAGCTGTGCCACCCTCTGATGGTTGTTAAGTACAGATGAACAGTACCCAAAGCCTAAAGAATGACCCAGAGAACAAGTGGGCAAGAGACATGCACTTCCAGGTCACAGAAAAAACCAACAGAAAACCCTGAAAGTCCTGGCTCTGGCAGCATTGGTAGTCTGAGAATACTCCAGGTGTTGAATCCCTGATGAGCTCCCTGCCTTTCTCCCTGACACTATAAATTGCACACACTTCTCATATCACTATGTAAAAGCCCACCACCCTCACCTCAATAACATTGGAGACAAGGTATGGCAGGGTTTTGTTCACTTTGATCTTTTCACTGTTTTCTTTGATCTTGTCTTTCATGGCCTGGAGCTCGTGGGTCACTCTCAGTACCTCACTCTTCATGATCTGCAATTGGTACACAGAAGAAAGAAAAAGGAATAGTGTCAAAAAACTGAGGCAAGATAAAATTAATAGATTGTTCCAAAAGCAAACCGTTACAAATATCTAAGTCTGAAGAATAAAGGGAAATGCAAAATATAAAAAAAAGCAAAGCCAGCAAATAAGCCAAAATTTGCTAGGAATCAAGGCTATACAGTCCATTCTGGTCTCTAACTAATCAATAACCCCAAATAATTTCTTCCCAGTGTCACCTGGTAGCCTCAGCCTAATCAATATGGCCCAGATATGGCAACTGTTGTTTGGTTTGGATGTGATCTTTTAATAAATACAGATACAAAAGTAACCACATACACACACCTATTTCAGTTATGTTTTGCAAGGTGGTTGGAACTAGATGATCTTTAAGGTCCTTTGCAACACAAAGCATTCTATGATTCAGCCTGGAGAAGAGAGGGCTCCAGGAAGACCTCATGGTGGCCTTTCTGCATTTAAGGCTGTCTTGTAAGAAAGATGGGCACAGATTTTTTAGTAAGACCTGTTACAACAGGACAAGAGAGTAAATTTACACTAGATATAAGATTTTTTTACAGTAAGGATAGTAAAACATTGCAACAGGTTGCCCAGAAATATGATGGTTGCCCCATCCCTGGAAACATTCAAGACCAGGTTGGACAGGGCTCTGAGTAACCTGGTCTAGTTAAAGATGCCCCTGCTCACAGCAAGAGTTGGCCTTTAGAAGTCCCTTCCAACCCAAACTATTTTATGATTGTATTTACTGTAAGGAAAAAAAAATCCTCTAACAAAAAAAGTTCTGTACTCCCCATCCAACAGTGAGTACATTTACACCCAACACAGATGTCTGCAGTGCTGTCTGGCTGACACTGACAGGCCTTCTCCTCCCTTTCCTGGTTAGTCACACAGCATGCCAACAACACTTTGTGATCCCCACTGAAGGGACTGGAGCACCAAGAGATCTCAGGAGAACCTGCTCACATCTGAACTGGTGTGTGTGATTCTGTTCAATGGGGAAATCCACTCTTCACTAAGAAATCATCTTTTTAAAAGTCTTTACTCCTAAGCATAATACTGTGCTGTAACACATTCACAGGACAGAATTGTAACAGGAGCCAATGCAGAATCTGTGAAATAAAAATGCAAAAAACTTAATACATTTGATTTAATAAAACAGCCTAGAAAATATTAAAGGAAAACTGCCTGAAGGAAGGGTTCTTACAAACATTTTGCATATATAATGCTCTTACTATGAAATGAAGAAGGCTACTTCTACTCCTTACTGTATTCTGCAGTTTAAAAATAAGACACAGTTTTACCTTTACGGTCTTTAAAGAATAATAAAGTACATTAGTAAGTCAGAATTACTTGTGGAGCCTGAAGCAGTATAGGATGAAGTTACTCTACAGAATTTATGAAATATTTTATCTCGAGAATGCTAACACTGGGCAGCAAACATTCTAAATTTGTAAGTGCTTTTTTATGCAAAACATGTCTATCACAAGACAGGTCTATCTGCTTAACATCTCCATGAATGAACAAGCAAGAGGATGGAATGTTTTCTCCTCGTGTTTGCAGATGACACCAAATTGGGGGGCATAGTCTCGGTGTTCAAAGGCAGAGCTGCCACACAGAAACCTTACAAAAAACGAGGACACATGTAAAGCCCCACAGCAGGGAGGGAAGTGCTCCTTGCAGTGACACATGCTGGTGACTGTCTGGCTGAGGAATGGACCTGGGGGTCTCCATAAGACAATAAACAGAACAGGAGCCAGCAATGTGCCCTGACAGCAAGGGTGGCAAATGGCATCCTGGGCTGTACTATCAGGACTGCAGGCAGTAGATGGAGAGAAGTGTTGAGTCCCCTCTATTCAATACTTTTAGATCCTACCTAGAGCACTCAGTCCAGTTTTGGTGTCCCCCCCATACAGCAAAGGCATTGATAAACTGGACTGAGTTCAGCATAGGGCCACCAAGATGGCTGGGGGCTGGAGCATGGGCCCCCCTGAGGGAGGTGGGTTTGTTCAGCTGGAGAACAGAAAAGCTGGGGAAGGAGGTATCAGAGACTGAACCAGACACTTCACAGGAATACACAATGGGCAGATAAAATAACAAAGACTGAAACAGGTGCGGCTCAGACTGTAGCAAAGCAAATCTTTATCCCCACGAGGTCTGTCAAGCAGCAGCACTGAACACCCTGTGAAGCGGTGCACTATGTGTCTTTAAAGGCTTTCAACATCCAACCGGATCAAGCCCTGAGTAGCCTCAGTTATGGCTGACCCTGCTTTGCGAAGGAGTTTGGCCTGGAGGTCTGCTCAAATCCCTTCCAACCTAAATTACCCGAAGATCCTACCCGACTCAGCCACAGAAGAGACTTCCCCTTCCCCTCTGCCTGTGTAACTTTAGCTAAAGCATCCATGACTGCGTCGAACAGCCGCCCCCTCAGCTTCCTCGGGTCGATGCTCTTCCAGTGATTCTTCCCTACCTTCGCGGTTCAGTATTCCTCAATCTGCCGTTCTCGATTCAATTAACAGTGTTTAATTTTTTGCTGTCCCCGTGGCTGTGCTAACCCGCCCGCCCCGAACAAAAGCAGCACAGAGCTCCCGGGAGGGCGGCCCGGCCCGGCTCCGCTCCCCGGCCCGGCGCGGCCCCCGCCGCTACCTTGATCTCGCTGTCGAGGAGGCGGGTGCGCTGCACGATCTCCTCCGTGGACATCTTCAGCACCTCCTCGCCGACACCGTCCTGCGGGGGCACAACGGCAGCGTTACCGTCAGCCCGGCCCGCGGCTCGCCCCGGCCCCGCCGCCCCCGGCCCGGCCCTGGCCCCGGCCCCTCACCTCCGACTCATCCCACACCGACGCCATCTTTCCGCCGGCCCGCAGGAGCGCGCACGGCGCGGCGGGTTCGGCGCGGCAGATTCCGCACTGCGGTTCCCGGCGGCGCGGGGCGGGGGCGGCGCCACGGGCGGGACGGGGGTTCCGCGCACCCTCCCCTCCCCCGGCGCTGCCGCCGCCGCCCCGATCGCGGCCCCCGCCGCCCGCGGCCGTGCCGAATCTGCCGGCGGGGCGGGGAGCGGCCGGCGGTCACGTGCCGCTCCCAAACCTGCTGAGTGATGGCGGCGGCGGCGCCATGGTGGGGCGGTGCCATGGCGGGGCGGGGCGCGGCGCGGCGCGGCGCTGGAGGCAGACGGAGCGGTGTCCCGGAGAAAGCCTTTATTACAGCCAGTGCCCCTACACGGCAGCGAGGGGAAGGGACGGGGAGGGGAGGGGAGGTCAGGTCGAGCTGCGAGGCGGCCCCGCCAGGCACAGCCGGAGGGGGCCCGGGAGCGGCTCCGTCAGTCCCCGCCGGGCCCGGGCGGTCAGACGTAGCCGGGCTTCACCGACAAGCGGCGGCAGTTGGGGCAGCCGCGGGTCCCGTTGGTCTGGAGGCACCTGCAACGGGAGGAGGTCGGGTCGGGGGGGTCTCCGCGGCCGGAGGCTTCCCCAGGGCGGCTCCGCGGCTATTGTACACCTCAGAGCTGTTCCCCGTGGCCCTCCCGCCACCGGCAGAGACTGCATCTCCTCCACGTTCCTTCCAGGGAGGCACTTGGGCAAATTCCTGTACAAAAGTCTGTTCTGTACTGCTGGAGACAAGTCCCCAAAGCTCATCGGACATCTCTCACTGCCCAGTAGTTTGATGCTAATTCTGGTGTCAGTGTGAAACTTTGTTATTAAATTCTTAGTTTCCTGATTAGTTTTCAGAGTGTTTTGTAACACTCGTTGTTTTATCTACAGTAAAATGATGGTGCAGCTAACTTCTTTCATGGCAGTAGCATGATAACAGCCTGAGCAACTTCTTCACCTCTGTTTGCCACTAGCCAAGGGAGAAAGTGAGGGGATGTGGGAAAAAGCCAAACTGCCCCTGGGAGTGAAGAACTGATTGCCCAGGAGGAGTCAAATAAGAATTTGTGAACTGGGCTGACCACCTACAAAGTGAGGACACCAGTAAATAATTATTTAGGGGACAAGTGGGAGTGTGATGGATATGATGGCTAAATCTCACCCTCCAAGGCCGTGAGATTCTTAGCACTGCAATGGGATCCTGCAAGGCAGGATCAAGACAAAGACCTGGGGAACAGTGTGCATAGGACTGCTGTGGGCTTAAGCAGCTCTTTTCTATGACTAATGTAATGATAATAATTTTAGTGCTTCCAGATAATTACTTCAAATGGAAGAAATGGGAGCAAGGTAGTGCCTGGAGCTGGTTGTTTTTCTCCCCAATGGACTCTCCACACATGCCACAGTACAGCTCCATCTCCTCCACACATTCATGGAACTTCACTACATGGTCACGCAATTCTTGCTGCTGCTCCTTCGTGCGATAGATCCTTTCACACAGGCAGTGGAGCTTCAGCAGGCCGAGCTGCAGGTGAAGGACAGAAACGTAAGACAAGTGAACAGCAGGGTGAACACAGACCAGAAACAGGAGTGGGAACACCACAGCCCCATCAGCCAGCTGGAGAAACATCAGCAGGCCTCAACAATTCCAGTCATTAACCCTTCTTCTTTGTGTCACAAAAGGTCACACCAGGTTTGAGACACTCAGCAGCTCTTCCACTCATGGTTTCCCTGAGCTACCCCGACATACATCACTTTCCTTTGCCTCCAGCCAGCACACAGATCAGCAGCTGCTCAGGGCAAAAATGTTTTTCAGAAGAGACTTCTAATCCTCTAGTTCTCTGTCTGTTTCACACCCCATTTTCACTGCTTCTCATTCTCCTTTGCCTATCCCATTGTGACTCCTCACTCATTTTTCAGACTTGCATACTGATGATTATCTGTGCAACTGCCCACAACCAAACACTTAGTGACAAAGCAAATCTCAAACACTCACTGGTTAATAGGAATGCTAATGAGCAACGACAAGCCTTCAATGTTTGACATCTTATATTGCCTGACATAAGACTATGAAGAATGCTGAAAAGGATCCTACCTTGTTCCCTAGTCCCTCTGCCAGCTCCTGTGCCTTTTCAATGGTTTCCAGAGCCTGTGAATTGAGAGCACTGGTTGTTAGTTCTCAGCCAAATATATGAAAACCAGGCTTTTATGAATGTCCTATAAGAATTATTCAAAAAAAGAGGTAAAGAAGTACAGAGTAAAATTTGGATTAACAAGTATCCCTGTAACACTGGAGAATCAAAAAAGCTTTTTTGGGAGGGCAGATTTCCCTCCCCTACCAAAAGTTTATCCGTAAGAAAAAGCTGGTTTCTGAAGGACCACAAGTAATGCAAGAGCTACATTTCTGTCACAGACACTCAGCGTCAGTGTTGGCAGAGGCTGGTCCCCAAGCAGAGAGAATACAGACTTATTTAAACTCAGTCCCACATGCTCATTTGGGGCTGGGATGGCAAAGCAAGCCTTGTCCCCATCCTACCTTGCTGGCTCAATAATTGTTGGGCAACTTCAATTTCACTTGTACCAGAGGTGAGGAAAAGGATCACCAGCACCAATGCACCACACTTATCCATTTTTTCCTTGCTGTTCACATATCCACCTTGCCTTACTTACACATGGTGTGATGTAGGAGTGTTCTGCTATCCATTTTTAAAATCTGAAGGAAATATTTAGCATAGCAGCTGTCATACCAAATGACTCCCTACTTTCACCTAGATGTCACAGTGTTCCTTGCTGTTCTGATAATTAGTCTCTCTTTTCCAGAGCTATTGAGATCTGCTTCCTATTTGTCCAAGGGGAAGAAGAGGTCTCCCTTGTGATGCAGTAGTTTTCAGGAGGAACATTATAAAATTTCTACCCTATAATTTGGCATTACTGCTGTTGTAGGAGGAGAGGACCAGATGAGATGCAAAAATGTTCTGTGAATGCAGAGGAGATGGCATTAGACTTGTGGTGGCAGCAACAGCCTAGGATAAGAAAATGTAGGAGAGGGAAGCAGGAACTAAAGGCCAGCAGAGAGAACATAACTGAGAACTGTGCTTAGGAAGACTGTACTGAAAACTCCTGAAATTAATGATTGTGAACAAGAATCAAAGTGAAATGTGTGGAGTAAGGGAAAGGATGTTGAAAAGTCTAGGGGACAGTTTGTCTTGGACTGTGCAAGAATGAGGGCAAGCAAGCTGTGAGCAGCTTCGGAGGATCTGGAATAGCATTGATTACATTACATGCAAATAAAATGGACTAACTGGTGAAAGAGACTGGGAAGATGGAAGAAGCTTGAGCAAAAACAGGGAATCTGCAAGTGGAAAGTTAGCAGATTGATTTATTAAGTAACTGATACAGGGATGAGTAGCATGAGAAATGGAAACTGGGCCTGCCAAGTTGAAGAACAGGCTTGGGTGAATATTCAGGGATGTGACATCTAAGGAAGTCACATTTGGTCAACAGACATAAGGTCCCTGACCCAGCAGGACAGACTTCCCTCTATTGCCTGGAACAACAGGAATACAAGATTCCTCCACTTTCTTCTTCTGTGGGATTTGGTGAGATTAGAATTCTGTGCAAAGCCCACATAATGTTCTCACAAGTGAGAGCTGCTTGATATCAGACAGTGGCTCGAGATAGAATCAGTGAATGGAAGAGTTTGATGAGTGCTCTGAATATTGTCTCCTGCAGAGGCCTACCTGCTGTGTCCTGTCCCATTCTTTTGATACTGAGCTAGCTTTTCAAGTCCACAGTTTCTCTTCCCATTGCTAACAAACACTGTGCTTACTTACTGAGATTGCACCGTGTGTCTCACCCAACTGATTCCCTGATGGAGGCACTCTGATGCTGACAGCACCTTGAACCTGTCTAGCTGGACATACTGATGTCTGGGTTGCTTCATTTGACTTAAAATTCTTGGTGTCTCAATATGAGTGATAAGAGCAAAATTTCATCATATTTAGACCCAACCAGCATCTTGATGTGGCACTGTGTACAGTTGTTCAGAGCTAGTTCAGGGCTAACCATTGAGCATTTAATTCTGTGGCTGAGTAATGTTCCTGCCGTGCAAATGTGCTGCATCTACTGCAGTCTGGACTTTAACACACATACACACTGTCTACGCCTTTTTATAAGTAACTTCACCCCCTTGTTCTATCTTGACTGGTTATCTATCCCCAAATAAATTCCTGCTCTCATTCCTCTGTTTCACATCAGAGTTTACAGGCCGTCAAAGTTTCTCCAAGAATTTTATGCCACATTTGCCTGCAAAGCACATGGTGGAGCTGTAGAGCTGTCTAAACATCATTAGCACATCAATGAGCTTAGTCATAGAACTAAAAAGTAGGCAGGGGAATCTATTTCAGAGCATAAGGCTTCCTTCCTCCAGTGCTGGTTTCTCAGCATAGAACTTAAAAGTCATCAGGATTGACTAATGAGGCAATTCTGTAACTTAGCACTCTGACTCAGAATGCATGTTCCTACCATTACTAACAAATCCCTGGCTGAGAGAGACCATTCAGAGAAATATAACTCTACAAGCAAAAGACCCTGTTGGTAGAACCAAGGGGGTACAGGTCTCTTCTGAACTGTACCCTCTTCTGTACTGTGCAGTACAAGGCTGTGCTCTAGTCTTGTCCTACAAACCTCTGTAGAAACAATTTTGTAACTGACCTTGTCCAGCTCCTTTTGGATCATCCAGCACTTAGTCACTCCTAGCAGCACCTGCACCAGGCCCAGGCGGTTCCCAATCTCTGTCATGATGCTCATGGAAGAATCATACCGAGGAAAGGCTGTCTGCAGACACAGGGAGGAAAGCACATGTTTTGCTATGAACTCTTTTCATGCCCTCTTGCTATTCTTCCCATCCTTCCTGGCAGGAAGGAGCTGTACCTGCACGTCCCTGCGACTGCGATGGATATCTGCAAAGCAGAGCAGACACAGTGCTTGCAGTGGCCGGTCACCATGCTGCAGGGCAATCTTCATGGACTCCTGCAAGAAATTGCCTCTGGTCAGTAGAACAGCCTGTTTCTGGTTCAAAACAGCAAGGCTGGGACTTTGGACTCCAGCCACTAAAAGCTCAGCTCTGAAGAAATGGCACCATCTTTTAAGGCAAGGAAAATATTTTTCACATGTCCCTAACCAAGGACCATTCATAGACCCGAATTTTGAAGCCCTCTGGCTACAGAAACTACAGCTCTAAGACTGGAAGGCATCAGGAAGCTCTGCAGTGTGGATGGCAGGGTATCTCTCTTGCTGCAGGGGCATGGCAGGATGCCCTGGCAGAGCCCCAGCCGTGCCTGTGCCCCGTACCTCGCAGCAATCCATGGCGTCTGCCAGGCGCCCCAGCTTCTGATAGGCCACAGCCATGTGGTACTGGCTCATGGCACGGTACTTCAGGCTCCAGCCCTTCCCGTAGTCACTCACCAGCTCAGCTGCTTTACAGGGGAAAAACAGGGCTTTCTCATAGTCCTGTAAGGCAACAAGCACACAGACAGCAGTCACAGCAAAAATAAAGCAAAAAGGAGAGAAGGAAAAAGACCAGCTATTTTTCATTTACTAACACTGCAACAGTTACCAGATTTCTGCACATCATTAAACTCATGCTGCTCCTCTTCCATGTGTGCAGTATTTTGGTGGATATCAAATTGTGAGAGATGGAATTGCCATATACTGAATCCTTATTATTCTCTGGGTTCAAGACACTGGGGCAATGACCCAGCAAATGAATTTTATGTAGTATGCCACAACTTTATTCTGCAGGAACCATTTACCCTCCTCTATAAGCAAAGGCTGAAAACTTTCTCTGCTCTTACATCATCTCTACTTGTAACATCTACATGTAGCCTTCATTTTCTCTAAACGGTGAGTTTGGATCTCCAAGAAGCTCTTTATCCATCATTGCAGGAAAGAGGAACTAAGACTCCTGGCCTCATCAAATTCACAAAAAATAATAATACATTTTAAACATCTTTTTTTTTTTGCATTAAAAGCATGTTAGAAATAAATCTTATTTTACAATCATTATGTCAAACTTATCTTAATATCTAAAACCATTTTCAAGTAAGTTATATAAGACTGCAGAAGTGAAAAAGTCCTCATATTTTTTTTTATTCTCCACAATGCAGAAAGGAAACCACAGATTCTCAAATTTCCTTTCTCCCTTCTTATTTCACACCTGAAAAGTGTTCAGCACAATGTTATTTTCTTTATTTTTGGTCACCACACTTCATCTGATGATCTTCTATGAGTGAAGAAATCAGGACTTTGTGAGAAAAACCTATTTTTTGCTGTTTGTACTAGAAGTTAGAACTGGCAAATCACCCCTGTGCTCAGTCCCTGTCTGATTTTACCTACAGCTTGCTGGCAGCTATTTGCCTACAATAGCGGTAGAAATAGAGAGTCCATGAGTTTTGGCTGCCAGCCCTGTGTCTCTGATGTGATCTTCTTTGAAGCTAAGTTTGATCTTTTCAACACACATATTCACAGCTGCTTCTGCTGTGCTGTGTAAACATGACACTAATCCTCCCATCCTTACTGTGGAGGAGAGTACCCCATTTGGATTTTACAAAGGGATTTTAGCTTACAGTGCTCTCTCAGCACTTCCTATAGGAAAGACAAAGGCTGAAATTCATGTGATTTCCAGTGCTTCCCTGAATCTGTGGGGCAACCATCCTCCTGTCCCTTAGGTTACTGTACCTTTATCTGGGTGTAGAAGTTCCCAAGGCTGCAGCAGACTCTACACTCCAGCATCTTGTCATCGTTGTTGTGTGCGTAGCGTAAAGCTTTCTCAAAGCACTCCAAAGCCTTCTGGAAAATGCTGAGGCCCAAGAAGGCATTGCCCATGCTGAGGCTCACCTGGCCATTCAGCTGCATGCTCACAGTGGTACCCTGCATGTTGAGGCACGTCTTACAGTAAGAGATGGTTTTCTGGAATTCACAGAGTTTCTCATTGCTGCGAGCCAGGTTTAGGTAGCTCTCTGTAAGGAAATCTGGGTCTTCCAGCTCCCGTGCTGTGTCAATCTGGACCACTGCAAACTTTAAGTAGAGAAGATAGTGTTTACAAAAGTGTGTAGGTTATTTAAATACAGCTCAAGCACCCACAGAGTAGCACCCTGTACTGGAGAAAGAGTCTCATCTCTGAGCAGGGCAGACAAGGCCATCAGCACATGGAGAAGCATTGTATGCACTGAGCAGTTATCTGGTGGTTTAAAAGGCCTATGAAGACTCAGAAGAAACCTCTCCCTCTCTTCACACAGTCTTAGGGCAGGGAAGATGAACTAGGCTGGATGTAAGGGGAAAACAGCTGTTAAATGGCCCTAAAGGGAAGCTGGTGAAGCAGGAAACATCTGACACAATGCAGTTCTGTTTTCTTCCACTCATTGTAATGTATCCCACTTTCTCTGGAATTCCTAAGCTATTAAAATATTCTTTTTTCTATTAATATACTGTAGTATATTAATAGTATATATTAGTATATATAATAATATCTATTATATATCTATTATATTTCTAATATATCTATTAGTATATCTATTATATATCGAATGTATCTATTAGTATATATATTAATATCTCTAATAGTATCTATTAGTATATATAAAATATACTTTTTTCTATTAATAGAAAAAAGTAGGCTACTTCTTTAAGGAATTTTCTGCTAATAAATTGCAGTCTTGATCTTGACAGTCTTGGTTCTATAACCTCCAGGATTTGTTACATACTGTTCTCTTAAATGAAGTCTCTTTCCAGCTGCAAACTCTTCTAAGCAGTAACTCTTTATGTTCTGTGATGAAGCAAGCACAAGCATTCAAGCTGGCTTGAATTAGTATCAGTAGCGAAGGTAAATAGTTAGCAATTTTCATTAGACATTATCAGGATTATAGATGGCAAATTCCAAAGGAATCAATTACTTCCTTTTTATATAGTGGCTACACATAATAATTTAGGCTACTAGAACATTTTACATTCTTTGGAAACAAAATCAAAACAACAACAAAAAAAACCAAACCAAAACAAAAAACCCCAAAAACAACAACAACAAAACACACACAACCACCACCCCCCAAAAAACAACAAAACAAAACCACAAAAAAACTCAAACAAAACCCCCAAACATCACCAACCATAAACTGTGTATGTTGGGTTTGTAATCATCTTCTCATTTCCATTACAGTTTAGGAAAGCTCCTATGTGGACTCAGTGGTGCACGCTAGCTCATGCTTCTCCACATTCCCTTAATTTTGCACAAGTTCTTTAGTACTTCCTGGTTGCCACAGCCTCTTCTCTTGGTGTGTAGTAATTTTTCCTCTCCAGAAGAGGTTGAGCATCACAGCCCTTCTTAAATTACTTTTTATTTCATGCATTTAATTTTGACTCATTTTCTTCTGATATTTCCTCTCTCAATGGCTTATTGCTAAAGTTCTCCTTTCTCTATCCTTTGACCAGTTGCTCTGTAAAATCTTCAGTTTGACTGAAGCCATTTTTCCTTCCTAATGCTGTGAAGAACTAAAATTCACCTACTCTGATCCCACTTTCTGTTCTTTTCTCAGGGAAGGAATTATGTTTGGGTATACTAAGCTCACTCCTTTGCCTTTTTTTTTTTTCCCATGAAGTTTTCAGTACTTCCTTCAGGTAGCTACATCTTACCCTTTTTTTCTTCTTTCTTCCCCAGTCAGTCTGTTGTTTTTGCCAGCACCTAATTTCATACCACTTAACAAAATTGTTTGTCTTCAAATGTTTTCAAGGTGTATTAATATCCCTCCTTTCTTCTTCATCTTAAGTATATGGTTTCAATATAGGGCTTTGACATGTGCATGGCTTTATCAGTGAGGTGTTCCCCTCTCCTCGCTCCAATTCCAAACAGAGCTACCAAAATCTTTTCAATGAGATGTAGACACCCCTTTCACATTTTGTTCTAAATGCTGAATGATGGCCAGTCTGTAAGAGACAACCCAAAACTTTGATATCCTCCATCAGGACGAGGATATCAAAGCCCTTTAGTAAGACCCTATTTCAGGCTGGGATGGCTTCTTAAGACTATTACAACACTCTCTTGCCTTGTCTTACAGATTCTTGAGCTGCCCTCCCAAATGCTGCCTGCTGCTCTCTGTACACATCCTCTTACTTCTCAGATCCACATACCAGCTTCTTTTTGTTCATTTAATTAAACTGTTTATCCTCATGTGCTTGAAATGTAACTTCAGCTGCTTTTTACCACTCTTCCATCAAGCCCCATATCCTTCCTCCTTTCTTCTATACTGTCCTGGCAACTGGAAGCTGCTCTCTGACCTCAATTGTGAGACATCTGGGATGTCTCAATTACCTCACTAAAACAGCATCTTCTTTTCCCTCTTGTTCAGCCCCCTGGCAAACAAATAATTGCAATTAGAAAACCCCAATATAAGACCTATTTTAGATATCAGCCAGAAGCTGAACAAGATAACAGACATGTCTCCACAAGAATGATACTTATTCTACAGAATCCACTTAGAGTTCTCCTTTTATGCTGACACACAGAATGTAAACAGCTTGTAGTGAACAAAGGCTCTGTTCTCATACCTGCTCCTGAAGCCTGATAACATGGTGTGCCTGTATGTGGGAAATAATCAAGACAGCTTCCCATGAAAAACTAGAGAATGTAAATAATGTAAATGATGTAAACTAGAGAATGTAAATAACCCAGGAATCCTGAACCAGACCCAGTGAAAAATCATATTCTGTGTATCTTGTGGGCTGGAGCTCTTGGTGAGCACAGTGATCACAGCAGCCCAGAACATGCACTCAATAGCTGGTATTTTCTGTTACACACAGAACACCCCCCACTTCAGGTTCTGATCTCCAGCCACGTTCCATCGCGGTGCGACACAATGGCATGCATTCATCTCCAGTTCACCTTACCTTCAGCATGTCTTTGTATCTGCCCATCTCTGCATGAGCAGTGATGAGGCAACCCAAAACCCGAAACCTGCCAGCAGGATCCGCAGACTTCTCCAAAACCCTCATCCAGACTCGCAGGGCCTTTTCGGTCTGATTAGACTGGTAAAGATGGAGTCCTTTCTCTATCTGTTGCTTTGTCTGGTCCTGACCCATCTCCCATGGATTAAAAAGCCTCATACACTGACCTCTAAGGATAGCCAAAAGGATGTGCTTACAAGAGAGCACAACATAAAATGCCCCACTAGAAGAGGGCGGGTTGTGTGCTCAGAGGGCCCAGAGCCATGAGAGCCCAGCCATGTCATGGGGCTGGAGCTGTGGTAGGCAATGGCAAGAAGTGGTTGCTCAGCACTGAAGGCAGAATCCCAAATCCACTAGGCAAACATCTTGCTTGCTAGGGCTCCATCAGTGCATTCATCTGTCCAATCCCGTAAACAAAGAGCAAAAGCACGACAGGGAGAGAAAGAGAAAAATCTCAAGCCACAGGAGTGAAACTCAATCTGAACAGCCAGTGCTGGTCTCCTCCCCATTGGCTGCAGCTGCTCCTGCCAGTCCAGCTCACGTGGCTCCCAGGAATTCTAGTCAGGCTCCCCAGCTCCCAAGGTCACGGTGCCAACTGCCCACCCCTGCCTGCTGGTATGTAGCTTATAAATACCCCAGGGAGAGACAATTGGCTGCAGTCACAGCCTCGGGATGCCTCGGCTGTCTCTTTCCTCTCTGGCCATCTCCTTAGACAAGTACTGCTGGTGGTGGGCTAGCTTGGGAGGAAGCAGACTCAGGTAGAATAATAGCTGTAGGAAAAATACATGACTTAAAAGTCAGGTGTGAACAAGGCAACTTCAGTGTGTACACACGTGCAGTGTTACACTTGCAACAATGTACTTGATACTTTGCTAGGTACGAAATTAGACTCCCTTTTGAGGACTTCAGTTGGCATCATGGACTGTTTTTATGGACATAGGTTGGCTCTGTCACAGATTTGCTGCAAATACACCTCTGACTTCCTAATTTTAGGGACAAGGAGCTAACCATGCTGAAAACCTTTGTTCTTGACTGAATGTTGCTCCCTGTCATCAGATGAGTGTGGCAGTCCTCCAAAAGTTTCCAACAGAAGTTGTCAATGGCACTGCTTAAGTTCTGCATCCAGAACTTGATGATCTTTTATGATGAATAACAATAAAGACACAGAACAACAGGTATCTGCACTTTTTGGTTGCAGGAGAGGCGTTAGCCCCATTAAAAGATAGCTTTATGTCTCCCACACTCTGTTGAAAAAAACAGACTGGTTCCTCTAGGAGCCAGTTTAATACTCTCACCTACGTGCTGCAGCCTTGGTGGTCCAGAGATTTATTCAGTCCTTCTTAAGAAGATACACCAAACCTGGGAGGAGGGGGGCAGGTGGAGAATGCTACAGGGATATTGAATGTTTTTCAGATGCAGACGTTCCAGGAACCGGTTTTGTGATTCTTTTACTGGGCAAAGAGAAGGAATTTGAAGTTTTAACAGACCTGCCTGCAAAACCAGTCATGTCTCCAGCTGGTTCCCTGATTCTTGGTGAATTTGGTTGCAATTCTTCCCCAAGCAAAGGTAAATACCCACAGAATCACCTCAAAGGGTACCAATCAGACTATCCCAGTCTGTCAACAAAAACCCAAGGGAGCCTTCCTGAGGTAATATCCTTAAAGAAAGCAAGTCACAAAATAAAGAACAATAGTCTACCCAGAGTCTTTACATCATAGCACTCATGATTTTAAGGGGTTACATCTGTCCTTTATCCAAAATTCCCCCAGAAAAATATTTCAAAAAGAAAAATGTTTTAAATTGTAGAAGGGTTTTGCTACAGTAAGAGTGATTCTCTTTTGGGAGCTCATAAACAGTATGATATTTGCATTATTTAACTTAGCTTTATTTTTCAGAGATGTAATGTGCTAGATGATATTTCAGCTTAGATTATATGTAGTCTCAAACTCTGGAAGTAGAAATTATGGAAAAATCTACAGAACCTGAAGAAAACTAATGGTGAGGCACTGCTGGTTAATGTGCAAAAATCACTTCAGCATCACTGTTGAAATTATTAGCTAGGTACTTTATAGATTTTAGGATTTGCATAAAAGTCTGATTCAGAATATTAAAAAATCTCTCCTTGCAGTAATTCTTCTATGTCTCTCTAGATGTAGGTGGTGGGATGGAAACAAGATGCAGATCAGTCCCCATGGAAGAAAATGACAATGGTGAGGCCATTCAGATTTCTACACTTGGAGAAGTGGCCAGGAAAGCAGCCACTGGAGCCTGCCATGTAACAGAATCAAGCCAGGACTCAGGAATGGGGAAAACAAAAATTTTATCATTCTTGGTAGATCAGACTACTTTGCAAAATTAACCTTGCACAGGTGAGCTGCCTGTAACACAAACTCATCCTGAGATTCTTTTGGACCAGGTCAGAGAAGAACTGTTCCCTTCCCCACACAGCATAGCCAAAATGAAGAGGGTGCCTTGCAGTCTGACAAAACCCATCTAACAGGAGGTGATCTGCCCTGCATTTTGTTAACCTCACTTTAGCTCCTTGCTTTTGAGCACTATGAAACAGTACTTAGTTTCTTAGGAATCAATTTGCAACTCACCTATTGAGATAAAAACATCCTAGTAAAGTAAAGGGTAAATCCATCAAGTTCAAACAGGTCATTTTCAAAAAACCAGGAACATGCTCTGATATGGAACATACCACTCTGAGCCCAGCTGCAGCTGCCTAAATAAGGAGGGATAAAAGATCAACATTGCCTGCCTGTGCTACTTCAAAAAAAGAAATGGCACCTGTCTGTGACTCAAGATAGCTGTAATTCATTGAAGATTCAGGTACAGCTTCTACAGTCAATGATCCACAGTTTCTCCTTCGGAAGTGCAAATAAATGAGCCTGAATGGTGCTTGGCAACATCAAATTAGGGAATCTTACCTGTCATACATGCAGTGGCTCATGCACTCACTTCTTCAGAGTGACCACACTGACCTGCTTCTCCTCCTCCCCCTGCTCTCCATAATGCCCTCAGTGACTCCTGGCCGCATGAAGAGAGCAAAATGTGGCAGGTAAAATCAGGAAGACTGGAGCCAAAACAAATAGTGAAAGGTGGAGGTGGATGTGAGAAGAAAAAGGTTTCTCCTAGAACATTCAGCATCAGGATTTCATCTACAACTTCGTGTATTTCCTACAAATGCTGATAAATGTAACAACTCATGTGAAAATGCTGATTATTTTCAGAGATTATTATACTGGCTCTTAGGTGCAGTTTGATTGTGTACAGATTGGTGGTGGCCTTTTAAATTGAATAAAAAGCCTTAAAAAAAAAAAAAAAAAGCAAACCCCTCTGACCCAAGAGAGATCTGGTGTCAGTTCTGTAAGATGTAGCTGGCAAAGCTTTGATTGTGTAAGACAAGGTGAGTAAACTTTCTGCACAAGCTGGAATCTTCCATTCAGCCTAAACAAACCCTTTTTTCCTGATTCAATTGTTTCTCTCCATCCTTGGCCTCAAGTTGTATCTAAACTGAAACCCCTGCAGCCTCTCTCCTCAACAGCTGCAAATTAACTGCAGGGATGGCAGGGCAGTCTGTAACAGGTGGCTCTGTGCCTCGTGCCCCAGTTGGTGTGCTCAGGGCAAGGAATGCAGCACTGAATCCTGATGCTTTGCAAGTGCTCTCAGATTTACAATCATGTAGGAAGTGATGGGGTGAAACAGAGTATCCCAGATAACACAGGAAAAGGACAAGGAGGAGAAACATAGCTGTCCTAATAACGCTTGCAAGTCTCCAAGATGCAAGACAGCAGAAGGAAGGAATAACATCAGGGAATTTTAGGAGCTTTCAGAAATGCAGCAAAATCATGGCCATTGTGGTACTTTCCTTCTGAGAGAGGCAATAATTGTGTCAAAATTGCGGCAGGTTTCTAAATGCTTTGGCTATGCCAAATACTTTTTATTAATTTGAAATGAGATATCATAAAATATATCTTAGTTCTAAGAGCAAAGCAGGGAGCCTTTGCTTATCACTAGTAAGTAATCCAAATCCAGTTGCAGTTTCCCTGTGTAGTGTTTCCAGGATGAGGAGCACTGAGGGCTGCAGGTACCTGATGCTGCAGAACCAGGACAGATTCAGCCAGCTTGGCTGTGCTCCTAGAAGGGGAAGGAGGCAGTGGCAAGTGTGCAGCTTGTGAGAGTGGCATAAGTTGGTGCCTCTCTAACCCCACACAGCACCACACACTGGTGCTGCTCCTGCAGAGCTGAGGGCTGCTGCTCTGCCCAAAGTATTGAGCCCCTGAAACGCCCTGAAGCACAAGTGCATGGACAGGCACGTCACTGCTTGGCACCAGTTCTGTGAGGCTGGATATGCCCACTCCTCACTCTTAAGTGTTGAACATATTTGCATTATCCAAGATCCTCAGCTTTTCTGTATCTAAGGAGGACTTGACTTTCAAATGATCCAAAATGGACATATATCAACCTGAAAACATTTTCTATTTCCACTCAAAGTAGCTCATTTACACAGAAACAAAAGTCCAGTGTGATACTGTACATCCAGAACAAGTGGTACTGGGCCATGAATATTTTTGTGTCTTACAGCTAAAAAACTGTAAAACAGGTCTCTCATCTTTCTCTTCATCTTCTCACACTTGAACCCCAAAAAGAACCTCAAGCTTAAGACACAAATACAACACACAAGGACTCTTCTCAAACAGTTTAATAGCAAATAAACATAGGAAGGTACCACACTTGGCATATACAAAATGACTTGTTGTCGGTGTGTCTGTGCAATTAAAACAGCTTTAAGTTGCCCTTTGGGACAAAAAGAAAAAAAAACACACACACAAAAGGAAGAAAATTCCTTTAACACATACTCGCTTGTTCCAAACCTGTAACAAATCTTTTCATTTTTAAATCCACTACACAAACTCTGTGATCAGATCAGAAAAGCAACACGCGCTCCTCTGCTTTTTAAACCATTAAAGTAAAATCTGTAATTCTCTACAGAGTACAACACAATTTCACACAAAAAGACATTTTGTTTTGCAAATCAAAACAAGAAAAAAAAGGAACAGCTCAAACAAGGTAAAGAAAAGCATTTCTACGACTGAACCACGACTTCGAGTTGATTAAATCCCGTTAACTGCAGAACAGACTCTACATTTGGTCAT